TTTCCTGTGAGTACACATGCTCTACATTTATATTGAATCTCCAATTCAAATACAAGTGTATATTAATTAGATCTCTTGCCGTTTGTCATGTATATATAGTGCGCAAAGCAAGCCCAGGGAACTAACTTGTGTGGCTACTACGTGTGCGAGAATTGCCACTGCCTTGCAGACCAAATCATCAACACAAGAGAGCTCGATGTACGTACAAATAAATTGAAAATTTCATTGCGTATGTATCGATTTGTTGTTTACTAATTAATTTCATACATTCATAGGTTATTCGCATGAGGGATAACCTCACACAAAAGGAATTTATCGCAGCGGTTCAAGAACAACTCATGGGATTCATCAACAAACAAATCCTTGATCCCGAGGGTGAATTCTACTACGACGGAAATACAATTCATAGGTCGTTAGCTTCTAAGATAACGACTAATACTACGTCGAAGTCGTAGCTAGCTAGGACATCATAATGAATTGTAATTAATACATGTCTATTTTCCTATATGCATGTACACATTTACTTTAGTGTAAATATATATTTTGGTCATATATATATGCACATAAAATGTTAAGTGCTTTAATATATATAGACATATGCATTTGCATAACATATATGTATAAATACATATATATTATGCATGTATATATATTGAAACATATATAAATATAATATATAAATATATAATATATATATATATATATATATTATGCATATATATGTATTGAAACATATATATGCATGGTTTATATGTATGCATTTATATATAAACCATGCAGCAACAGGGCCTTGCAAATAAAAAAAAGGGAAAATTGGAACCATGCCATTATAATATTGCAAAATTTGAGATATGCCATCCTAACCCACATGTCATTGACTCATGTGGGTCCTACATGTCATTGAGATACCGATAGCATATCTCAAACTTTGCAAAATAATAATGGCATGATTTCAATTTACCCAAAAAAAAAAGGGCAGCTCGATCTTTAGTCCCGGTTATTTCACCCGGGACTAAAGATAGCGATCTTTAGTCCTAGATTGGTAGTCCCGGTTTGAAAACCGGGACTATAGGGGGTTACCAACCGGGACTAATAAGGGTTTCTCCACCAGTGATTATATGGTGCGCCGTCCCCACGCATGCATCATATCTCCGTTTTTTAGTTGGTTGGTGAGAGGGTTGTTTGGTTGGTTGACTTGCATTGCCAAGTCATATTTTAATCATGTCACAGTTTATTAGTTATCATTTATGAAAAATAGTTGCTTAGGTATGTGTTAATTTGTTTCGCTGCTACAACTTTGTCATGCCCCCTTTTCTTAATTTTTGGATTCACTAGAAAAATACCCCTACATTGCAACGGGTGAATGCTATTTTAAGCTTATTATTGTTATATGGTTTAGGTATGGTAGAATTCACCGTGGGAATTCATTTGGATTTTTTTTTAGAAAATCACGAGCTGCAATTAGGAGTCCGACTTTTATCTCAAGTTAGCATGCGAGTTTTTTAAAAAAAGAGATTTCTTATACAATATTTTCAAAAGCAAACGAGTTTAAAATCCAACTCAAATACGGATATATATTTCCAATAGCGAACAAATTTAAAAACCGACTTAAACAAGGATGACGTACCAAAATATCGGAAAAACATCTTCAATTTTTATAATAGTATAGATAAGTTACACTCTTAAATTTAGAGCTAACCGTGCTACACTTTTGACCAACTATTTCTTAGTCACACTTATACCACCCATGCCACAACTAGTCACCTTATAGTGGAAGGATAGTGGATGAGATACTGTTACCTAATTACCAAATTGTTCAGAGTTGCTTGTGCAAAAATTGTAATATCTCCCCAATAAAAAAGAAGAAACATCGCTACATGCAGTTCTGAGTGGGCCGTCTGTTATACTACATGCCAAATAGTGATATTGGGATATGAGAAAGTGAGGGCACTGTGGTCTTTTGGTTTTCTCTATTTGTAGGTATGTGTCAGGTAGGTGAAAACTAAATTTATTTTTGTATGAAGAAACAGTATGTATTATCATTACATTTGTATGTAAAGATAATTTCATGCAATGGTAATAATTTACTCCTTATGTCCCACATTAAAAATGTCAGGTTATTTAGTATGGATTAAGAGAGTCCAATTGATTACCCTAATAAGTCAAAACCAAATCTAAAATTTGAATTTTCAAACTTAATTTTGACGTTAATTATAAGATATTTTGAACGTAGTTTATTTTTTGCCATTGGCATTTAAGTGACTACGAACACGTATATAAATTTTTATCTATAATTTTTTTATTCCCAAATAAACCGTTTTGGTTTATTAGGGAATATGGGCAAACGATGAGCACAGTGCTGTTCTTCCACAGCCGGAACCACCGTCCCTTCCCCTTTCCCGTGGCACCGGTGCCCATGGCGATGGCTTGTAGTGCTTAGTGAGCTCAGCGTCGAACTTGCTACATCCGTTTCCCGGCAACAGCACGATGGGGTGGATATCGACGACGGCGTGGTGGAGCAGACGACGGCGTGGTGGAGCGGTGGGAGGGCGCTGCCGTCGATGAGGAAGAAGGGGACAACAGAGGAGGAGCAGCAGGAGGAAAGGTAGTATGTCCATTGTGGCAGATAGCTCGCTAGCTTGGTTGTTTGGAGTTTTAGATAACCACGCGAGATGAGACGATAAGTAGGAGTATATAAGTAAGTGGCACTCTAGCTATTGCTTGAAAGAGCCGAGCAAATTAACTTGCGTTATTATGGTAAGCTCAGTTGCCACGTTTCCGAAAACGGAAATTTGTCTGGACGAAAGTGATTTTCATTTAAGGATCCAACGACCCGAATTTATACATTTGGGCTCGTACAGATAAGGCGTTGATTATGTGGTGCTGTCCCTGTCCCCACGCAATCGCTTATATTCTGCGGGCAGAGTACAATCAAGCGCCTGATGTTTGAAGAAAAATTGGACGCTTCACCTATGCACTTTGTGTTGCATACATCATATCTTCTTTTATTTATTGGTTGGTTAGAGGATGGTTGGTTTTGGTTGCGTCGCATTGTAAAGTCATACTTTAGTCTTGTCACAGTTTTTTAGACATCCAGTATCTGAAAAAATAGTTTCTTGGGCATATGGTAGACCCTATTTAGATTACACCCTGTCACATCAAACGTTTGAACACCTGCATGAAGTATTAAATATAGTCTTAAAAAATAACTAATTACACAGATTGGGACTAATTTGTAAGACGAATCTTTTGAACCTAATTGTTTCATGATTTGATAATGTGGTGCTACAGCAAACATTTGCTAATTACCGACTAATTAGGCTTAATAAATTCGTCTCACGGTTTACTGACATATTCTGTAATTAGTTTTTTTATTAGTGCCCGAACACCCCATGCGACACCCTATATAATATTCGATGTGACACGCTAAAACTTTACACCCCTGGAATATTTAAACACCCCCGTAATTTGTTTAGTTGCTGCATCTTTGTCATACCAAACTTTCTATCTAGGGATCTACGCTTTCACATTTAGAGCTAACCATGTCACACTTGTGACCAATTATTTCTTAGCCATACTTATACCTCCCATATCACCACTTGTCTAAGCTTGCATTAACAAAATATCCTAACTGCAGGCTATATTCTAGGCTACATCCCATTCTTATATACTTATCTTAGCATTTTTTTCCCCAAATGATTTTTCCTTCTAAATTATTTATCTAATCTGCGATTTGGTTACACCATCATATTTCTTTTAATTTAGCCGTTACAACAAGATCTTAGGAAACTAAATTTGATCTTGGACAAATATATTTTGATGAGAAAAATCATGTGTTATTTTATCGTATATTGAAAATTTTTTCATCACTCGATCAAATTTAGTTCAATTTACAAAAGGTTTCATAGAGATGCAACATTCAAAATATATATGATGGTGAGGCTAGCAATTAGTTAGCCACAAAGTTTACCACACCTCACTTTGCCACAAATGTGTCATGCCACATAAAGTGAGGCTAGCAATTAGTTAGCCACAAGTGTGGCTAAGTTTGGCAAGAATTTGAGTCTATGACGTGTAGGTCCAATGACTAGCAAAGTGAGGCATTACACAATTGTGACAATCAACCAAACACTATACTAAGAAATTATGGCATGCCTAAGATTTGGCATGGCAACCTTTGGGAGCCAATCAAATAGCCCCGTACTCCCTCCTCTCTAGTGGATAATCCAATATAGCTAACCGATGAGCTAGTTTGAAAAACAAAAATCAAAATTTTTTTCCCGCATGCATGGGCAACGAAGGCACATGAAATTAGCTGATGTGCATCCGTATCTAGTCAATAATTCATCCATGCATTTCGGTATGTAAGTACGAGAACCAAGGTTGAAGGAGTATATACCTTTTCTTTTTCAGGATCCAGTATATACTGTTTTTTTTTATGATCTAACATGTACTAGAATTTTTTTGCTGGAGTACATACCTTTTTATTGTAATATCCAGTATGTTTGTACTTGATTTCTTTTAGGTACAGTATGTACCTTTTTAAAGTTAAGTATATACTTTTTTAAGTTAGTAATGGTATATACCTTTTTGAATTAGTAGAGCAGTATATACCTTTTTAAGTTAGAAGTAGTATGTAACTTTTAAAAAATGTAGTAGCGGTATGTACCATTTTAAATTAGTAGAGCAGTATATACCTTTTTTTATGTTAGTAACAGTATGTACTGTTTTTTAAGGTGAATATCAGTATATACTACTGTAATTTCAATGAGTACTGATGTACTTAATGATTTTTTCCTGGAACTGACTATATACTAAATTTAATTTCTTGGGACGAGTATATCCCGATTTCTTTTCTGAACAAGTTTGTACTACTCTTCTTTGAACGAGTGTACTGATCTATATACTGATTTCTTTCACAAATTATATTCTCCGATTTCAGGAGTGAACATGAAATTTTAAAGAATATATAGAAAGTTATTTCCTCAATTTAGATTAAATTGAAGCATAGTCCGATCCCAAGAGAATTTGCAATAATCCAGGCAGTATATGGATTCATACATTTAGCCATTCTGAAAAAGAAGAAAAAATGAATGTACAGTATACCCAATTTTCGACCTGCACAAACTGCTTTGGACAGAATTTTCATACTGCCATATCCACATTTTCTACATCTACATCAGCTAATCCATGCAACCATGCGAATATACTGCCCGGTGTTGGCCACCATCCATGGTGTATTTGTCATGCATCTGTATGGAGCAAAGCAAAGAACTAGTTAATTAGGAGCTTCATCATTCTTCAGAAGACTAAATAATACGCTGGGTTATCAAATAATTTTTTTTAAAATACTAGCAGGCCTACTCATGGAAAGAGGGTGAATGGGGATTACATTCAAGTACAGATCTAATAAGAAAGGGAATCCTCGATCTGCAGGAAGAGAAAAATGGAAAGATAATACCTTGGCAGGATGAATAAGGAGTAGAACAGAGTGGTTACGGCCTCATTTCCCTGCACGGCGCATGGATTTATGTGTCAACCGGGCTTGGCGAAGAAACCCCGATTGCATGATCGGATGATCCTGCACCTCCGGCCAACCGTCGTTCTTCGTCCACACCGGTGGTGAGGAGTAGTAGCGTCGCGCCGAGGTGCAGCCAGGCCACCGCTGCCTCCGTGTGGACAGCGTCACCGCACAGCGCCTACATAGGACGAGACGACGAATCGATGACTGATATCGTCGCCGCTAGGGCACTGCCTAGGAACGCCATGATTGCCATGTTGCTGCAAATGGATCTCACCGCATCCCAACAAATCACCGATGGATGCCGCCGGCACCGTGCATGGTTGCTCATCAATCGCCAATGGATCATGCCGTCCGCTTTGACTCTCCGGTAGCTAGCGGTCGATCCGAATATTGCGGAGAGAGCGAGCTATTGCCGTCGCTGGTTAAGTGGTTAGGATGGCAGCCGGGGATTTATATTATTTGCTCAGGACCGATTAGTGTGGGATAGTTAAGCATTAGGTGATTTTTTTTTTATAAAAACGAAACGGGTCTGTTGAGTGGATCCGGTAACAAGGTTGATCGTGTGCCTCATTACTGATGAACGGTGGCAGGTGTACGTACTCCCAGGTGTATAGAACCATTTTCATATATATATATATATATATATACATATATATATATACATACACATATATATATACATACATACATACATACATACATACATACATATATATATATATATATATATATATATATATATATATATATATGTATATGTATATGTATATGTATATGTATATATGTATGTATGTATGTATGTATGTATGAATGTTCCACGTGAAATCAGGACCCCGCAATCCATCCCAAAATATCCTTGTTTGGGTAATCAAGGGTTTTGCTGGCGAAAACTTGTGCGAATTGCGATTACGGGGTAAGGCGACACCTCATCTATCTTTTAGATCACAAAACGGTGGTTCAAATGTCTTGAGCAAGACGAATAGATTAGACAATCAAGCCAATGTGCTTGAAATGATGATTGATGTTGATCCAAGTGGTCCAAGTATGTCTATTTGCAAAGATACGATATGAAAGCATTGCAATATCTACTAGCATTAACTACTACAATTATAACATTTAATAGGAAAAAAATTTGCCCAAATGCACAAATAAAAATCAATAATTTTTCAGGACGAGATGGGACCGGGAAATTAATAATTAAGATAGTTTCTTCATGGCCGAATAACATATATATGTCTGAATTCTGATCCTGAGATCATTGCCTACCATGCTATCCGCCTACCATGCTATCCGTTATATTTTTTCTCAGAATTTTTTTCTGCAAGGAAATGGTGATTTTATAATAATCAGTAACAAGTGCTTTAATGCCCAGAGGGTCATCAAACGGCCAAACAGCACGGTTGTTCAATCTCGATCCTAGCACGGTTATTCACAAGAGTCACCTTGTTAAACCCTCTTCCAATTATCTAGAGCTTCAAAATGATATAGATGGTTAAATGGCAGATTCATAATATGTTGAACGTAGAAATCGGAGTGCCTCTAGAGCCTAAGGTGGACTCGAACTTGATATGAGTTGGACCTCCATCTTGATTTGAACGTCTATGACGATCTTATTCATCTCCTAGCTTCTTTTCATGTGCTCCATGGTCTCTCCATAGTTCATAATCGTGATTAAATCATTAGGTAGCAATCTATCCTCGCAAGCACATAAAGAAGTACTTAGGAACGAGCTCATCAGTAAATTTAATTGTCGGGCGCGAGCTCTAGTGACTGGACCTTGCAAAACAATTTGAGGGGTAGCGTGTGTATCCAAAACGATAGGGCATGTAGCCTAGTGGTTCCAGTGACCCAAATAATACCCCAAGGTCCTGAGTTCAAATCTCCGTATGAGCGAATTTTAGACTGGGTTATTTATGGGGCTAAGTTACCAATTTCAATGGCCAATTAGTAACCTCGACTACCTATCGAACAGTGGGTGCACGCAGAAAATGAGGCGGACTTGTGTGTCCAATTGGGGGACATTGAGAATTTGAGATTGTATTTGTACATGAGCCTGAGCCTATGGTGCACGTACAGTGTATTGTTGATCCATCCGCTTTGAATTTGGAGGCCCTAGCTGAGCAATAGAGAATTTCAAGCCCAATTATGCGTACTAGCCATCGAGTCGTGGGTTGCACGGGATATTAATATTGATAGCACACGCTACATGTGATTTAGAACCAACACCATGTTAAGTTTTATTTTAGTTACGTGGATAAAATATGTTTGGTCATAATTTCAAAAGAACTATTTATATATAGTACATCCTAATTCTTATTAATTTCAATTTATTAATCTAATAGTTTTAAAATGTACAAATATTAAGTAACGATATGTACTCATGTCCATGTCTCAATTCTGTATTTTATCTTAATTAATACACATATATAGAATTAATAGGTACCGTATTGTAGTTAGTTTAAAGTCTTCTTTTCATGATATAATATTTTTTAAATATATAATTACTAAATATTAAGTTATATTCATTTTGAGGTCTGAATTTTAGCTTTTTTGGACGATACTCCGTATGGAGTTTAAGTTATTACTTATTCATAATTTAATAACTTTGAAGTTCACAATCAATAACTATCGAGTTATATTTTTTTCAGAACATCAATGTTAGCTTTGGCGATTTGTAATCCAAAAAATCAGAATAAATAAGTACCAAACTGTACTCAGTTTGGAGTATCAATTATAGCTCATGATTTAATGGTGCGAAAATTTGTAATTAATAAATACTGAGCTGTATAAGGTATCAAATCCAACAATAGTTTTTCCATGTATTAATAATTCCAAAAAAAGGAATACATTGTAATATCCATTTTAGCCTTTTCATAATTTGCTATTTCTAAAATTGATTATTAATAAATGCCGAGTGCTACTTGTTGATGAAAAGAAAAACACACAATAGCCTGGGAGATCTGCTTAACTCCAGTGCAGTTATAAGATGTTGATGAGATGCGGGCGTGCCAGTTAGTTTGATCTTGCAACAGACAAGATATGTAAACAACAGAAAAAACAGCCGATCGGCTGACAAGCCGATGGAGTAATTCCAGCCGATAGCCGATATTAGCCGATTCCACCCGATGTCGATAGGGTTTTGAGCAATCGGCTATATATCCATTGTAGATAAATATATATAGACAATCGGCTGATGATAATAAAATATAACAATATTATAATCCAATAGAAATCACTCGGCTAATAATAATATGATAGGATAAGTATCGATCCGATAGTTAAAAGCATACATTGGCTAAAAGTTCGATGTCATAAAATCCAATCGATTTAGATAAACAGTGAAACCTTGTTGCAATTGGCAAAATCTAACTTGTAAGTAATCTTTGTAAGCCGATGCAACGTCTAGAAAACTTATCGGCTAGCATCCCGATAAAACACTAGCATGAACCTATTGGCTTAACAAGATTTATATTATCAACAATAATTTAGTAGGTCGGACCTAATCGATGCAGCACGAGATTATAAATGATAGTCTAATGCTCGATGAGCCGATAGATCTGTCTAATGTGATGGATATAAGAAATCTATTTATAACAGCATTGTGATTGTAGAGATATATCGGTTAAGACGGAAGATCAGACCTAACCAAGACAGTCCGAATTAAACCGATACGTCTCTAAATACAATGTAATTAGAGATAGAATTGAGATATCAGGTAGGCAAATATATCAAACAAACCAGAGCGATCCAAGAGATCGGAGTGATGCAGCCTTGAACAACACCAATATAGCCGATAGTATCACTAGGGCCGACGAAACGCAGGACTTACCCCTTCGTCGGATATGGAACTGAACCGATGCAGCCCCACATCAGGTACCAAATTCCTCTGGTTGATAAGTAAAACCTCAGAAAAGAGGGTGGCAGTGCGCCGAGAGTAGTATTGATCGAGAGATAAATTACATTGACCCCGGGTGTACATATTTCTACACATGGGTGGAACTGCTTATACATTTGTCGGGTGATTTTTAACAAGAAATCATCCAGATTTTTTCTACACTTAGATTTATATCCAACAGACTACAAAATAAAATAACTAATACAAATTTACTTATTCAACATCTTTATCAAAATTACAGTACACTTATATGTCATATCAATTTTAGTTATATAGGACTGTAATTTTATATTTTAAATACTCACATGTCCTATCAACTGAATTTACAAATGTAATTTTAGTTATATAGGAGTGTAATTTTATATTTTATAGAAAATAACGAATGCATATTTAATTACACAACATTTTTATCAAAATTACAGTACACTTACATGTCATATCAACTAAATTTACAAATGTAATTTTATTTATATAGGACTGTAACTTTATACAATTACAGTATAATTACATTGTAACTTACATATAACTGCATAACTGCAGTATAATTATAGTGTAACTTGTATGTAATTTCAATGTAACTTTGTATGTAACTTTTAAAACACTGCTAGTCATACGAAATAAACATCACGGGAGATCTCTCACCCGTATTAAAGTAGTATTATCGTTCAATCACTTTCGTTCTATACAGTGGCAAAGCTAAAAAAAGATGCGTACAATACCTCGCTTGGTTATAAGTGCCTTGCCCTAATCAGGTGCTAATCGGTAGGTTTAAAAAACGTCAAATTTTAAGTAAAAAATTTGACGACAGATTTATAGCAAAACTGCCCATGGGTAGATACTAGTCCTTGTAGGACAAGAAAGAAACTTTCCTAAAGATAAAAGGAAAACATAAAGTCCTTATCGGACACTAAACACACTTTCCTTAAGATAAAAAGAAACTAAAACCTGCCCAATTAATAGATAAACTGTCATTTCGCATCCTCCTTGAACTCAGACTCTTCTAGATAAGTTTCCTTTAATTGATCTTTACCCGAATCCATCAAGAATACAACTGTTGGCGATTGATAGTTTCCATGGTCGATTCTAGGACTTTAAAACCGATACTGACTCTAAACCTATGATTACTCTGGGCTTAACAAATTTTGCCATTAACACTACTATATTTAAAATCTCAGTTAATTTAGTAATTTTGAAACTAATACATATCAAATCGTACTTGGTTTGGAGTTTCAATTATAGATTTGAGTGATTTGATAATTGAAATTTAAGAATTAATCACTACTATTTGTCCCCATCCCAATTTAGTTTTGTATTTAATTTACTAATTCTGAAAGTTAGAGGTTATATGTTTCTGAGTTTATATACTTTGATGTCTTGCATTAGAATAAAGTAAAAAAAACTATTGACTCCATATGTTTTCCTTTTGGAGTGTTTTACTTGATACAAATTTGATTTGGGCCCGTGTGATTCTTTTCTAATTTTTGGATGAGATCATAGAATCGGAGTATGTTTCTTCGTAGGTGCAAGGAAATTATACGGAATACCTATGTGAATCCAGCAGTTGCAACAC